GCAGTCGGTGGTCACGAAAGAATTCGTGTGGCCTCGGAAGCAGGCACGAGGGAAGAACAGTCCTATGAGGATCATGGGTACGTGCCTGAACGGTAGCCGACATTGGGATGGCCAGGTATAGCAGGTAGAGGACCTTGCTACAATGACAGTGCTGTTCCTACGGCCGCATCACAGATGTTGGTAACATAGAGTGTAGGACCTGTTCTACTATATAAGTAGGTAGTACGTAGAGCAACAATCATGCCGTTGCCATTCAAGATTGAATTGTCTGTTGTGTTCACACGTACTGTGTATGCCAGCGGGTTCTCGTCAGACACGGCGAAACCCCCGGGTATCTAGCACTTGACAGGGATGCTGACCGTGTACACCACGAACGGATACAGGTGTATGCAGACTGGGGTGTCGGATGATAATTGTGTTGAGGAAGACATACCGTATACCATGTATGCATGTCTAGCAACAACGTTTCGCAACATCGCTTCGGGGGTAGTATGCACGCAAAACAGCATATCTGGTGTTGCCGTGAACGTGCGCAGTGTTCGGAGCAGGCTATTCGGCATGTTTGGTGGCACCCCAGATCACATCGGGTTACTAGCATAGCCGAAAGAGGATATCCACGACTGCCAAGTTGAGTGCCTCGACGTGATACACTCGCTGCGGTGTAGCATTTCGCATCTTCGCATGATAGCCATAGCCTGCTCAGTGTCCATGGGGGAGAAAGCTCGTGTCGAATCCAGGGAGGGTTGGCAATGCGCCCCGTTCAATGATGATTGTCTCAAGATGGTGAATCGTCCTTGGTAGTAGAGTACAGAGGCCTGGGCCGTGTAAATAAGAATTTCCACCTTGACAAGTCTGTAGTCTGTGATGGTTGGAGAGCCTTGGAAGCTCAAGGTAGTATAGACCAGGGCGATGAGGTTTCAATGGGGAACCAACCTCCAGGGCTCTTTGGGTCGGGTGTCCTGTAGGCATATATATGCATTTACCTACAATATTAAGTTATCTAAACATTCATTAGCGGTCAGATTATGGTCAGATTATGCTGGTTACACCACTATCAAGTATCAGATACCCTTGCTATTTGCATAACCTTAGATACACGTACATGATATGTTTCTTCTCCGTGCCATGCCTCCGGTGTGTTTTCCCAGCTTGCGGCACGATACAGCCATGCCTCGATAGTTGTACAGATATGAACTACGTACGGCTGATGGGTATAAATAATATACTATACTCTACTACCAACATCACAATCGCCTGGTGGCTTTGGTGGCTTGCCAAGTTCTCCAGTATCTATACTTGCCGGCCCGATGCTTGGCATAGGTATGGCATGTTGCTCCTCTTCGGTGGCTGAATGGGACTCCGCGAGTCCGCACCTCCGCTTCCGCCCTAGATTACGCTGCCCAGATGCTCGTCGGGGCTTGTGCTGCTGCTATACACAGGGATGCTCAAGACTACTGAGTAATAGTAGGTAAGGTAATGCACTTATATAATGCTGTATGTAAGTAAGTCTTGGGTGTGATGGGCTACTTGATTAAGCTTACATAAGGGGCGGTGGAATGGCGACGAGATTGCTAATCATCAGCTGCATCACACGTATACATGTACCGACATATCTAAGTACGTACTGTAAGTATGTTATCTCTTCATTACGTGTATTCTGTAGTATTTCCTCGCATGTTCGTAGCTCGTCGCGCTAACACTGAAGAGATAGACTCCCTTACCTACGTTACTGGTCACTGGATCTGACACAGCGGAAATTACTCGCATGTCGTTCGTTACCTGGAGTGCCTACCAACTAAATAGGGTTTGTGTGTACGACGTGGATGCACATATTTCTTTTGATTGCTTCTTGAGGCTACCTCTCCATCTATGCTACCGGGACGTGGGAAACTCGTCAGCTTCTCATCGATCGAAATAGCCTTCCCTTCAGCTGATGCCAAAAAGCCCATCACGGCTAGATAAGCGAGCGGGGGGCCAAAGCAAATGGAAAATAGGACATTGTCATATTAATAGCTGAGAGCTATTAAATATGATAGGTAGAGTAATGACCAGCAGCTGGAAATCTATCTATCTGAACAACGGCTCGAGTCGGTCCATGAAAAGGGCCTTTGATGAAAGCCACCATCAGACACGCTCTCCGAGGGTGGCCAGAGGGCGAGACAAGCTTATCACTTTTCTTGGTCTTGGGGTACTCTACATGTTTGTCTCATGCTTACGGGCAATGCTCACCAACAGATATCATGTAAGGAGATGAATTATGATGACGACGACGATGCTAGGCTGTGCCTGTCACAAAGGACAAAGGGCGGAGAGTTACGGCCAACACGTGCCGAAGATGAAGATGAGGACATGTGTGATAGCCAGGGAGGCAGTTATCACAAGAGCTAGTCCATGGTCAGCCACACACACATTGAAGTCGGTCGGAGGACGAAGAGGAGGAGGCAAAAAACAAAGGGGATGGGCACAATACTAGTAGATGAGAGGACAGAGGGCTGGCTGGCTGGCTGGCTGGGTTGGGAACACGACGATGTAAGTATATCTGTAGGTTGACGGGTGGACCAGGCGTGACTGAATAAACTCATGAATGACTGAATGACTAAATGAATAAATGGATGCGACATTGCTTGGGTATTCTTGGATTCTTGGTATCTCCTGGCGCGCCTCTTGGTGTTCCCCCGAGCCCCCCACCAAGAGGCAGGCGACGACAAGACGGACGAGGTACCCCGATACCCGCCGTGATGCACGAGAAGGGGTACGGCTTAGGTGGTACTGGCGTACCTGATATCCACCGGGCAGGTATCACTGTACACAGACAGCCCCTGCAATCTCATGTACTCGGCATCCAGACACCAGAATCTACATGTAATTACTTCGTAATGGCTGTAATACCAGTATGCATAATCTATCTCGATGGGCACGGTGCAGAAGTCAGAAGTACCAAGCGCAGGTACAAGCTACCTGGGCCCCACTGCCGCGTGAGTTCCACAGGCGATCCCTGGAGGGCCAGAGCTGGCGGTACCGAGTACACGGCCTGCCCTAGCACCAAGACCTGGACAGACACCTGGACAAGCCCTGGACAAGACGCCAAGAGAGCCAAGATAGCCAAGCCTAAGGTTTACTGACTCGGAAAAGGCAAGCCAAGGAATCTCAGCAGCAGCAGTAGCAGCAAGGAGAGGGCCAGAGAGAGGGCCAAGCAGCGAACAAGAGGCCAAGAGGCCAAGAGAGAGAGACAGACGGACAGACAGAAGAAGGTAAGTAAGTAAGTAAGTAAGGCATGTCTTGGGATACTAACCAACCGATAGTAAGTACTGTTAGTGCTACTGTACTGTATGAGAACTGTAGTGTACGTACCGTTGTCCAAGGTATGCTGCCCATCGCCCATCGCCCATCGTCGTCCATCGGCCCACAGCAAACATGGCCGGCCATCCACCCATCCATAAATGAAATCCATCATCATCCATCCATCATCCAACTGATCTCGCGCCGCAATTAGCCATCTTCACTGCATAATAAGTAGATGTAGAGGGATGGACCACATACAGTATGAGTACATGTACACATAGCAGTATCGGTACCAGTACCCAGCACCCAGCACCATATGCATCCTGCATGTGTGTCCATGTACCTAGGTACTGTACTACATATATACCTTGTACTGTATGTAGTCTAGGTAATGCCCAGATAATGCCTACAGCTAAGTACATAGGTACTTATAGGAATGACCCAGCGCCCCAGCGCCCCATCCAACCCACCATAGCTGCTGCTAAGGTAGCCAAGGTAGCTAAGATAGATACCTCCCTAAATACCTACCTAACCTAATACTACCTAGTAGTACTAGGCAAGGTTATGCTAGATACATAGTACATGTACCTCAACTTTGAACTTACAGTAAGTACCTAAGTACCTACCTAGGTACGGTATGTGGTATGTATGTATGTAGGTATGTACCTAACTTCCTCCATCGCTCCTCCCCTCCTCCCCACCTCGCACCGCACCTTGCACCTTGCACCTTGCACTTGCCTGCCCCGTCTCATTCACCAGTGGCCGCTGCCCATTCATGGCCCATGGCCCATTGCCTATTGCCTTAGGTATTGTCTCATTGTCTCATTGTCTACCTGCATAGGTAGGTACTTAGGTACCTCCTCCACCACCGAGAAACACAAAGCTTGAACCCTCCGACGTACTTTATTTTATATATACCCTTATATTCCTTATATACCTTCAGTCCCCATTCCACAAGTATATACTTCCAACCTTGGACCTGACCCGATCTACTCTGCCCTCGCCTCAAAGCTTAAGATATATAGGCTTTCCAAGGTTTACTTCCTACGGGGTGCCCCATTGAATTGTTCGACCCTCGCACCGCAATACCCTTCTTGCAAAGTCAAACATTATCGTCGACAACCTCCGGTGGCAGCAACACGTCAACGTCGTCGTCGCCCTTGTCGACTGATCACTGATCCCCTGCGCATTCTAATCCATCAATCACGCAAGCGCTCATAACAACAACCACAGCAACAGCAACACCGCCGGCTTCCAACAATTGGAATTGACGACCAACAGCCAACAGCCAACATACCTTAATAGTATGCACTTGCGAAATCTCTACGCCGCCATCTCACAGCTAGCGTAGCAGCAAGAGAAGGACCGTACTTGGTGCCAGAGACCACTAACAACCACACAGCCCCCTGGTCTGGTCCGGTCTGGTCTGGCCTTGTCTTGTCTTGTCTTCCCCAACATCACTTATAACGACACTCCCTCCATCTCGCCTTGGGACCTTCGTTCTTGGTTTTGTTCTGTAGTACTTTGCGCCGCTTCTGGTCTGACCTGATATATCCATCCACTACGACCTCAGTTGCTGCCATTGACCCAACAGCAACCAGAAGAATAACAATAACGGTGGTGACTAAGCCTACATGTCGTCGCTTTTATAGCCCTTAGCCGTCCTGTCCATCTTCTCGACCTAGCTTCTACCTTTATATCTTGATTCATACCAGTCTTTAAAGGCAGTTGACTTCACTCTGTAAGTGCGCAATTCTTCGTTTATCATCTTGAAGCATAATTAATTGTATGCTTGACCTTCCTTTCTCGTCCATACCCGTCTACATACTACTATATATATATATATATATATATATGTCATACCATGTATGCCCTCATTCCATATCCCGCCTTTTTCCCTAGCCCCCTATCAACCCTCACAGCTTTCTCACTCTATGTTCCTTATATTGCAGACACATCTTGCCTCATACAACATTTCCACATATCTATTCTTGTGTGCACCCCGTCGTCTTGTAACGATGCTGCCTACTTCTCCAAGATTTCTATGACTAACACTCTAACGACTAGCAAGCAACCAGCCAGCGTCATTCTTGGACGAGTCTTATTCGACACCTCCGCTCACCAAAACTCGCCCGAGCTGCATGACCCACACTGACGCTGTTCTATCGTCGAAGTGGTAGGGAGGGTGTGGTTTCTGAGACGCAGCACGATATTGTCTCCTTTTCTTGAATAATCAACCTCCGAAGCACGAAACATATTTCAATTCGTCGTCATGGAGACCTACATAGGTGTCGTGAGGACCCCTGGAGACGCTATCAAGCTTTTTGAAGCATGCAGGCTCGGCCTGCTGCCTCGGGTGCAGAGACGGTTGTCGGAGAAGGAGAGACAATCTATAAAATCCGGTTCCGTGTTTGTGTGGGATGAGAGGGAAGCAGGCATGCGACGTTGGACTGATGGTAAATCCTGGAGCGCGAGTCGAGTGTCGGGCAGTTTTCTTACTTATCGTGAAATGGAAGGGAAACGCGGAAGCGGCTTTGGGACCACGAGGAGGCATCCTGGACGCTCACCTGAAAGTGGTCGCCAGAGTGACGACGATCAAGATGGCGAACCAGAGGGTTATCGATACAAGACCGATGGTCTTATGAAGCAATCTTTCAGCATACAAACATCTAATGGACAGCACCTGCATCTGATATCCTACTATGCGCGGCCTTCGTCTGGGGGACCCGAGCTTCTTCAGCCCACCGCGGATCCCTCACTCAGACATATAATCCCTGCTAAAGGGATGTATCCTGAGTCAAGTCTGCACGACACCAACGGTTCAGCCTTGACCAAAACGCCCATGCAGTCATATACACACTCTCCTGGGCCCCAAGACCACGGTCCCTATCCTGGTTATTGGGCTGCCCCAGCTTGGACGGCAGAGCCATGGCCGCCCTCGCCGAGGCAAACACCCCCCCATATATACGCACGACACGAAGCCGAAAGGGCTCAACCACCGCCGCCGCCTATGGGTTACTCGGCGCCCTCACTGGCACCACCACATCCATCTATGGCCCATTCTCACTATGACCGGATACCGCAGCCCACTCCATGGTCAGCGGTCGACCGACGGATGAGCTTATCCCCTCGCTCTCAACAACTTCAAGTTCAAGCAGCGCAGGCCGTCCTGATCGACCCTCGGGCTCCCATACACGGTCGCCATCCCCAAGGCCCCCTACCCTCGCTCGCTCCCTCAAGTCGCCACCCTACCCCCCCGAGAGGTTCTCACTCACCTCCTCGAACAGCTAGCTCAACCAGCTCACAACCGCGAAAGGCGAGCCTGTCGAGCATATTATTACACCCTACGCCGACCAACTCAGAACCCAACAGCGCTAATCCAGCGAACAACAGCAGTGCAGGGAGTTCACCTCGAGCTCTAGCCGCTGCTGCACACGAGTTATCAACCGATGTCAAGGCGATACGGTCACTCGACCGTCGGTTTTTTTAAATTGTTGCATAATACAATGAGCATTAGCAGGCGTTTTAACAAAACAAAGGTCGGGTCACGGATACGGATTCAGGAGGGTCCGTAAGGGTCATCGGAACGGGCATGATGTTTTAATTTCCCCCAACTACCACTGGCGATTGCTTTATATTGACTGGTAAAACGAAACGGAGTTTATGGTATTAGGATAGTCGTTCATCACGACGTTATGGTGGTGTTGGGGGCAAATGCTATTAGAGCATTAGTGTTATAACTTATGTATTGTTTATATCTATGGTCTGATACTACTCTCAGTATAGAGAGCTGCCGTATACAAATAACTCAATCAATTTGATTGGAGTATTGATTAAAACAACTTTCACATACTTGCTACGCCGTGACCCCGGAAACCAACCCAATAATTTTTGACTGAATCTAGACGCTTTTTTTCTTTTTTTTTCTCACCTTCTCTCACCTTACCTTATCCTGCCCGCCGATCACCCCTTCGGCTCTTGTTATCGGGTGCACTAAATGCTACTGCAAGGGCCCAGGGACTGACTCTACACCAAGCCAATATGCAAGCATGCACGCGCGATCCTTCCTTCGTTCCGCCGAATCCTTCGATCGCCGCAAAGCCGGTACCGGTATTCGAGATCCTACCAGCCAACCAAGACGCGGGATTACCCCAGCGGGCTGGACCAGCCTGGCTGGTTGGACTGGTCCGATAGGGCGAGAACATACTTCCAGTGCCTGTAATCCGTCGATTGCCATTGGGAGGGAGGGAGGGAGGGATGTAGAGCTTCGCACCTACATATCTAGAAACTTTGAAATCTCATCGATTCTCATGAGCTTTGTTTTCATTTTTATCTATTGATCTATTTACTTTCCCGTATAACTCCATAGTCATTTTACATTGCTGCGTAAAGGGTATTCACCCATTGGACCTTTACACGCGATTGATATCGGTGTAGAATACAGGATGATGATAACGGATAGGATCTCATATCACGGTGCGTTATATAAGGTTTGTATTCGGTAATTATTTACTTCCTTCCTTCCCCATGGCAACTTTCCCAAACCTACGGTGTCCGCGCGACGTAAGCGCGGCTAGGCAGCACTCGTAATCTGAATTTACTTTAACGTTTCTGTCGGTGCCTTGGTTATGCGCGCGTGGGCGGATCGGAGCTTCCTCGCATGTTGAGGTGTATGGTTTGTCCTGTTTTTGTCTTTTTTTTTCACATCGTTGTTGGGGTTGGGGAAAAAGGGAAGGGGTGCATGGTTGTTGCATTTTTTTTCCACCGTGCTTACGTATTCGTTTTCCCCCCCGACGACACCGATACATAACCCCCTCCCCCTCCGGATAATTAGACATACTTTAAACTTAAGCGTCGAGGTCCGCTGGACTTCGCTTGGGCCTTGCCGTGTGTACCCTGCCCTACTGATATATGTGTATGTATGGTTGGTGTGTAAATAGCTGTGTGTATGGACTGCCATGCGAGCTCTCTCTTCACGTGCCCGAGTTAGAGTTGCGCACAAGGTGTGAACCGCTCGTTGTAAGCGAGTTCTAAGCGCCGGCGCCGCTGATGCAGTTCCATATTCCCTACGCGCAGTAGTTCCATTCCCTCGGTGGCGAGAAACCTTGGCTCACCGAGAATTCAAGGTTCTGCCCTTTTTTTTTTTTTTCCGCGTGCTTCTTTCCTCTTCCAGATGATGCAGCGAGATGGGATTTCATATGGCTTGCTGAGAGAGGTCTTTGCTCTATCCCAACACGAAAAATATCTCCGGTTAACCTTATACGTGCTGCTATGCTGGACCCTGAAAACTCCGCAAAGGTTTTGGTCTCGAGAACTTCGTCTGAGTAAGTAAGTAAGTAATTACAGCTGGGGTTGCACAACGCGCATAGTTAGTTGATCCTTCTCCCATCGACAACTGCCTCCTACTGGGGGAAGAGGGGGGTTGGTCTAGCTGCCCTTGTTCGTTTTTTTTTTTTTCCTTCGCGGCCGGCAAAATTGCCCTTTTTGCACTCCGGCAACGTTTCTGGCCGGCCATCGTTCCTTCATCTCCTTCATCGCTGGTTGTAAGCTCGCCTTACTCTGCTCTCTGCTACACTACGCTTTTTTTTGTGCACACCGACACGGCGTATCTGTAGGGTGCGCCTCCTATCATGCCATAAGCACTTACTGATCTTATAGGTCGGGGGCTGACACCTGATTTGGTCTCTTTTGTTATACTCGTCTTATTCCAATGTCTTTATATCTTTTGTTATGCGGAGATATAGATACCTCCCGATGTAGAATGGCGACAGTGAGCGGGCTAGATGTAGTAGCGTGCGGCCGACTTTCGCAAGTGCTTACAAAGAGTTTACTTATTTCAATTTTAGCACGCGGAAGATTCCATCTTTTCTCCCCAAACGGATGATAGACTTCGCTTATAAGTGTAGGGTATATGCTAGGTCGGTAGTGCTGCTGGGGTTCCTACATCTCACCTTGCACCTCGCTACGATACACAGCGCTCTATAGCTCACATGAAACGAAAAAAAAACTTTTGTTTCGGGTTTGTTCGAGAAACGTACACCGCCCTAGCATATTTCCATATCGGCGTGGATATAGGCTGCACTGCACAGCGTCTCTTTGAGCAGCTAACTTATAGGCTGTACATACAACCTTATCATT